AGTGGTAGTTGTAGTTGTAGTTGTAGTTGTAGTAGTAGTAGTAGTAGTAGTAGTAGTAGTAGTAGTAGTAGTAGTAGTAGTAGTAGTAGTAGTAGTAGTAGTAGTAGTAGTAGTAGCTAGTAGTAGTAGTTAGTAGTAGTAGTAGTAGTAGTAGTAGTAGTAGTAGTAGTAGTAGTAGTAAGTAGTAGTCGTTAGTAGTAGTAGTAGTAGTAGTAGTAGTAGTAGTAGTAGTAGTAGTAGTAGTAGTAGTAGTAAGTAGTAGTAGTAGTAGTAGTAGTAGTAGTAGTAGTAGTAGTAGTAGTAGTAGTAGTAGTAGTAGTAGTAGTAGTAGTAGTAGGAGTAGGAGCAGTAGCAGTAGTAGTAGTAGTAGTAGTAGCAATAGGACTAGGAGTAGCAGTAGGAGTAGGAGTAGCAGCAGTAGGAGTAGGAGTAGTAGGAGGAGGAGTAGTTGCAGTAACCCGGCCTCGATTTCTCGCAGCGACTTCATGGCCTGCGGCAGAGGCTGTTACAACTGCAGGGTTTAGGGGTTTAGGGTTAGGGTTTAGGGAGCATAAAAAGTTCTAGGACTTACAGAGGTGTCTGAATCATCAGCGAGGAGATTTTGAAGATGGCAGGGCAGAAAAAAAAGCGAGGGATCCCGGCTTCATAAGAGACTGAGCTGTCTCGTGAGTCTAGTCGCACTGCCTGGTATCAGGTCCTTCGTGGCCCTTATGACTGAAATGTCGACTCCCTTCTCGTGGTGGGGCTTGGGTTTGGGGCTCCGGGTTCGGAATGTTACAAGATGCTACGTGCACCACGGGGGACTGCAACCACTGCCACGAAAGCCCCTGCTGCATGTCCGACTAACGTAGCGGCAGAAGGCACCTCCAGACAGCAAAGCATGACTCACAGCTGGGGCAGTTTTCGACTGAACAAATGGCGATCTCCGAGAAACGGTGAAGCCGCTGAAACTCAAACATAAAATCGCAGCGGCAGCCAGCTGCCTGCATGCGCTTAGAAAGTGTATGAGATCATGCGACGCATCTCGCGCATGTTCAAGAGGATCAAAAGAAGGCTCAGCGCTGGGACGCCTTGACCACATCCTTGAAGTCCATCAATGCCTGGTAAGCTGCCTTGGCATCCGCCGCATTTACCTTGGACATCATGTAAGGGCCCACATCCTTGCCAAGGTTGAACTTGTTGAAAGCATTGTACACGTCCATGGTCTGGGATGCAGGCACCGAAGCGATCATATGCCCGATGGCCGCATTAATTGCAGTGTAATCGGCAAGAGTCGCGACACCCTTGGAGTCCATGCCGGCAATGGCCTTGCTGTGAGCCAGAACACCCGATTTCAGAGCTGCGGAGTCCATGGACGCACCCATCTTCAACATCGTGTTGATCGCCTTGAGCACCTGGAGAGGAGGCTGGGTGGGAAGCTTGGCATAGACGTCGGAGGTCCAGTCGATTTCTTTCAAGAAGGGGTAAGACTTCTCGGACAGCACCTTTGCTGCATCGTCGATCTTGTCCGCGAAAGCAGGTGCTGCGCCCAGCATGCTCAGTGCCCCTGCGGCTGCGGGCGCCATGCTGCGAGCTGGGCGAGCAGGTCCCGGCACAAAGGCTGGGAGGCTGCAGAAGCAAACTCCCACGGCCAGGATCGAAATCACGCGCACAGCCTTTGCCATAGCTTGCTTTCTGTGGTCCCTCAGCCTGTTCTCTGAATGGCTTTGATCTCGAGCCTAAAGGCCAAAAAACCAACAAGGCTGAATGCAGGCGCCCTTCTGCCCTTACTCATCTCGCAGTGTCCGCGCTTCAACAGGCTCGGACGAAGGAGAACTTGCACCACGGGGGACTGCAACCACTGCCACGAAAGCCCCTGCTGCATGTCCGACTAACGTAGCGGCAGAAGGAACCTCCAGACAGCAAAGCATGACTCACAGCTGGGGCAGTTTTCGACTGAACAAATGGCGATCTCCGAGAAACGGTGAAGCCGCTGAAACTCAAACATAAAATCGCAGCGGCAGCCAGCTGCCTGCATGCGCTTAGAAAGTGTATGAGATCATGCGACGCATATCGCGCATGTTCAAGAGGATCAAAAGAAGGCTCAGCGCTGGGACGCCTTGACCACATCCTTGAAGTCCATCAATGCCTGGTAAGCTGCCTTGGCATCCGCCGCATCTACCTTGGACATCATGTAAGGGCCCACATCTTTGCCAAGGTTGAACTTGTTGAAAGCATTGTACACGTCCATGGTCTGGGATGCAGGCACCGAAGCGATCATATGCCCGATGGCCGCATTAATAGCAGTATAATCGGCAAGAGTCGCGACACCCTTGGAATCCATGTTGGCAATGGCCTGGCTGTGAGCCAGAGCACCCGATTTCAGAGCTGCGGCGTCCATGGACGCACCCATCTTCAACATCGTGTTGATGGCCTTGAGCACCTCCAGAGGAGGCTGGGTGGGGAGCTTGCCATAGACGTCGGAGGTCCAGTCGATTTCTTTCAAGAAGGGATAAGACTTCTCGGACAGGACCTTTGCTGCGTCGTCGATCTTGTCCGCGAAAGCAGGCGCTGCGCCCAGCATGCTCAGTGCTCCTGCAGCTGCGGGCGCCATGCTGCGAGCTGGGCGAGCAGGCCCCGGCACAAAGGCTGGGAGGCTGCAGAAGCAAACTCCCACGGCCAGGATCGAAATCACGCGCACAGCCTTTGCCATAGCTTGCTTTCTGTGGTCCCTCAGCCTGTTCTCTGAATGGCTTTGATCTCGAGCCTAAAGGCCAAAAAACCAACAAGGCTGAATGCAGGCGCCCTTCTGCCCTTACTCATCTCGCAGCTGTCCGCGCTTCAACAGGCTCGGACGAAGGAGAACTTGCACCACGGGGGATTGCAACCACTGCCACGAAAGCCCCTGCTGCATGTCCGACTAACGTAGCGGCAGAAGGCACCTCCAGACAGCAAAGCATGACTCACAGCTGGGGCAGTTTTCGACTGAACAAATGGCGATCTCCGAGAAACGGTGAAGCCGCTGAAACTCAAACATAAAATCGCAGCGGCAGCCAGCTGCCTGCATGCGCTTAGAAAGTGTATGAGATCATGCGACGCATATCGCGCATGTTCAAGAGGATCAAAAGAAGGCTCAGCGCTGGGACGCCTTGACCACATCCTTGAAGTCCATCAATGCCTGGTAAGCTGCCTTGGCATCCGCCGCATTTACCTTGGACATCATGTAAGGGCCGACATCCTTGCCAAGGTTGAACTTGTTGAAAGCATTGTACACGTCCATGGTCTGGGATGCAGGCACCGAAGCGATCATATGCCCGATGGCCGCATTAATTGCAGTGTAATCGGCAAGAGTCGCGACACCCTTGGAGTCCATGCCGGCAATGGCCTTGCTGTGAGCCAGAACACCCGATTTCAGAGCTGCGGAGTCCATGGACGCACCCATCTTCAACATCGTGTTGATCGCCTTGAGCACCTGGAGAGGAGGCTGGGTGGGGAGCTTGGCATAGACGTCGGAGGTCCAGTCGATTTCTTTCAAGAAGGGGTAAGACTTCTCGGACAGCACCTTTGCTGCATCGTCGATCTTGTCCGCGAAAGCAGGTGCTGCGCCCAGCATGCTCAGTGCCCCTGCGGCTGCGGGCGCCATGCTGCGAGCTGGGCGAGCAGGCCCGGGCACAAAGGCTGGGAGGCTGCAGAAGCAAACTCCCACGGCCAGGATCGAAATCACGCGCACAGCCTTTGCCATAGCTTGCTTTCTGTGGTCCCTCAGCCTGTTCTCTGAATGGCTTTGATCTCGAGCCTAAAGGCCAAAAAACCAACAAGGCTGAATGCAGGCGCCCTTCTGCCCTTACTCATCTCGCAGCTGTCCGCGCTTCAACAGGCTCGGACGAAGGAGAACTTGCACCACGGGGGACTGCAACCACTGCCACGAAAGCCCCTGCTGCATGTCCGACTAACGTAGCGGCAGAAGGCAACTCCAGACAGCAAAGCATGACTCACAGCTGGGGCAGTTTTCGACTGAACAAATGGCGATATCCGAGAAACGAAGCCGCTGAAACTCAAACATAAAATCGCAGCGGCAGCCGTTAAATTAGTTTACAGGTTAGCTGCCTGCATGCGCTTAGAAAGTGTATGAGATCATGCGACGCATATCGCGCATGTTCAAGAGGATCAAAAGAAGGCTCAGCGCTGGGACGCCTTGACCACATCCTTGAAGTCCATCAATGCCTGGTAAGCTGCCTTGGCATCCGCCGCATTTACCTTGGACATCATGTAAGGGCCCACATCCTTGCCAAGGTTGAACTTGTTGAAAGCATTGTACACGTCCATGGTCTGGGATGCAGGCACCGAAGCGATCATATGCCCGATGGCCGCATTAATTGCAGTGTAATCGGCAAGAGTCGCGACACCCTTGGAGTCCATGCCGGCAATGGCCTTGCTGTGAGCCAGAACACCCGATTTCAGAGCTGCGGAGTCCATGGACGCACCCATCTTCAACATCGTGTTGATCGCCTTGAGCACCTGGAGAGGAGGCTGGGTGGGAAGCTTGGCATAGACGTCGGAGGTCCAGTCGATTTCTTTCAAGAAGGGGTAAGACTTCTCGGACAGCACCTTTGCTGCATCGTCGATCTTGTCCGCGAAAGCAGGCGCTGCGCCCAGCATGCTCAGTGCCCCTGCGGCTGCGGGCGCCATGCTGCGAGCTGGGCGAGCAGGCCCCGGCACAAAGGCTGGGAGGCTGCAGAAGCAAACTCCCACGGCCAGGATCGAAATCACGCGCACAGCCTTTGCCATAGCTTGCTTTCTGTGGTCCCTCAGCCTGTTCTCTGAATGGCTTTGATCTCGAGCCTAAAGGCCAAAAAACCAACAAGGCTGAATGCAGGCGCCCTTCTGCCCTTACTCATCTCGCAGCTGTCCGCGCTTCAACAGGCTCGGACAAAGCGAACTGAAGACAGTCGCTGGGCCGGGCCGCCAGCAGCCCACACCAGGCTGTCTGCGACCTCTGATCGTATCTTTTTTTCCGGCTGTCACGACTTCTGCTCTGCGAAGATGCGGTGCTGCTTCGAAACCAACTCCTTGGCACACTGACAGAGAAGGGCACGTTGTGGCATTCGTCTGCCTTCTGCAAATCCCCCTGCAGCTCCGAGCTCAATTAAGTTTCAGGACACTCGTCTCTGTTGCTACGATATATCCATTGCAACCCAGATGCCCACAATCTCAGCTTTTCGTGTTCGTCGAGGTCGTCCAAAGGTAGGAAAAACACGTCGTTGACCTTGCGCATGCAGAACGAGAACTTACAGTGTTACAGCATGGAATTGAGGGCTGTGCTACACTTCGGCGCCAACATTCCTCTGCATCTAATTAACAGGCCATACCTATCCTTAACGGAACGAACCATCTGCTTTTGGGCACTGCGCTTCGTGTCTGACGTGCGACCTGAACTCTGCAAGCCAAGGCACTATGCGAAACCACCTGGGCTCACTTGGAAACACATGTGGTGGCTGCAGTAGCAACCGAGTTACATCCCCATGTGCATGGTTCAAGCACAACGACGTCGATCATGATGACGACGCGGTGATGGTGATGAACGACTATATTTCCCGCAGGAGCCATCAAGATTGTAATGTTTGCTGCGATGACAGGCGATGGCGCTGTTGTTCCTACTGCGGGTGATGCGCTCTGTAGTGGCATTATCATTGTTACTGATTATTTTGCCTTCTTCTTCTTATTGTGGGAGGCGGTTCTGCTGGTGCCGGGGCCGGTGGCGGCGCTGGTGCCGGGGCCGGTGGCGGTGGCGGTGCGGGTCGTTGGTTGTGGTTGCTGCTGCTGTCGTCGTTGTTGCTGCTCGTGCTGCTGCATTCTGTTACTGCCTTCCTTGCTGCCAACCGGAACAGCAGCTGATGCCGTAACCGAATCGCTCCCCATGCAACCTTATAAGGCTCCATGTACCCTTATAGTATATACAGATGCCTTGAAGTACCTATATGGGAGCCCCTTTTAGGCTTAAGTATCTACTATAAGGGTACATGCAGCCTTTGGGCAACAAGGCGCTCTTCTTTGGAGCTGGCTACGGCCAGGACCTCCTTGCCGCCTTGCAGCAGAACACATGGGAGATGCCGTTCTGCCGGTTTTGGATTATTATAACAATACTATTCATACTTTAGTACTACTAGTAGCATTATTGGTATTGTTGTTGTTATTTTTATTACCATTATCATCATCATTATGATTATGAACATTATGAGCATTACTGGTATGGTTTGGGGGGGGCCTTCTTTCGGGTACCAGGGAGACTGCGTGGCAACTTCCGTGCCTGTCGCATCCCAAGCTGAGTCGAAGAAGAAACGAGCAAGGCTGGAGGTCTCCATTATTAATACTAACTATCAGACCTATCATTACTAACCTACCATTAATTATTATTACGAACTATCATGAGTTATTATTACTAACTATCATTAATTATTAGCATTAGCATGTACTATAGCAATAATTTAGTTATTCGCGTTATTTAGTATTAGTACTAGCGTTATGAGTCCCCGGGCCCTGGAGGTATTTGTTTTCAGGCCCACTTCGCACTGCTTCCCCGACATCAGCAAAGGAATGTGGTTTCGCATGATGATGGTAAGGTAGCGGATAGCGCGGGTCGGAAGCTTCGAGTTTGCGAGAGTCTTGCAGGCTATTCAGCCAGTGTCAACCTGATTGAAAGACCCCTTCTTGACGGGCTGTACCTATGTAGTATTACCAAACAATTTTTTTTGCGGGGACGGAGAGGGTTCTTTCTCAAAAACCTACACTACTCGAGACTTCCGGGCCCTTCCATTGCTGAGCCCTGCACCTGGCAATTCCGGATGGGTGCGCCGGAGGGTGCAGGCGTGCATGGAGAGTATTCCTTGCGTCGTCAGGGGCGGGAAGGATGGAAATGACAAAAATCTTGCAGCCTAGGGACGCAACCCTGAACACTGAAACCTAAACCCTGCGGCGGAACTGGTGGTAAATGAATTAGAACATTGAACTCTTTTTGGGGGCCATGAACTTTGGGCTCAGGGCCCAGGACGACCCGAAACTCCAAACCCTCAAATCCGGATAGAAAGCCCTGTAGAACCCTTGGACAAAGTCAAAGCCTAGTACAGTATACTCGAAATCATGTTCTGATCACTCAGACCCTCAACCCTAAACATCCCCAAACCCCTAAATCAAAATCCTATGACCCCTATATAAGTCTATATAAGCTGTAATGAAGCCAGCCGTGCCCGGTCCTCGTCCCTTGGTCTTCCGATGGAAGAACACAGGGCTCTGGACCTGGCAAAAGGACTTTTCCTTTTGGGCTGCGAGCTTTTAGCTTTAAGTTTCGGTTGAGGGTTTCGTTGTTCGTTCTAGGCGTAAGTTTTAGGTTAGGGTCTCGATGTTTTCAATCCTTTGGCTTGTAGGGTTTAGGGTTTGGGGATTCGGTTAAGGGTTTTGGGCTTAGAGTTTCCTAAAATGGTTAAGACTAGCCACTGTGTGGGCTTTCGTGGGGGGTTTAGGGAAAGAGCGGAAGCTTCGGGTATGGGGTTAGTGCCTGTTCGGGATTTGGGGGTTGCTGTAGGGTTGAGGATTTGAGAGGTCTAAACCCTAAACCCTAAACCCTAAGCTTGGGGATGGATGGTTCTTGGGGAGCTCTTGTCTCAATTCGAAGTCTTTTTTCCTTCACGGAGGATGCCGGGAGCAACCATCCACCCTACCCATGCAACAGCAGGGCACCGAATAAGCTACCTCAGACTCATCATAACATGATATGTTTAAGATTGTCTTGAATTTTTACGAAAAACAACAATTCCTAAGGAGACTATAGTGAGGGGATTTTTGAATTGTGAGCCGCAATACCCAAGTAAATGTCACAGGGCTTCGCGCCATAGCTTAGAGCTCTGGGTACTTAGTTGCGGTAACCTCTGTAGTGAACCCTAAACCTAAAAGCTAAACCCTAAACCCGAAAGCCCTAAACCCTAAACCCGAAACCCCAAAACCCTAAACCCGAGACCTACACTGGGGACCCACACATAGTTGGAGTCCGGGTGGGACCAGTAAAACTCGTGAAACGCATCGAACTCCTCGAAGTTCGGAGCACACGTGCTCATGTCCTTACAGGGGCTCCCGCATCTTTGTTGCATTACGGGGCGTAAGACCAGCTGTCGTAGGGCCTGTGGATTCCAGATTCAAAACTGGACTCCGGAATTCTGATCGTACACGTTCGCTGTTCGGCAAGGTTCCGCAGAGTTTTGAACGCTGGACCGGCCTAAACCGCTAAAACCCTGAACACGATTTACGCGCTACGGTGATTGAGTCGACATTTCCAGGTTTCCCCAAGCCTACACGGTGAAAAGACCGCGGTTTTTTCAGGCTCAAGCTTTGGACTTTGAGGTTGTTTGTGGAACCTTAGGACAGCCTTCATGACAAAGGGCTTCGCCAGGTTCAGGTACCACAGGATTTAACGTTTGCGGTTTAGGTTCTGTTTTATTGTGCAATGGCGTTTTTTCGAAGCCCAACATGGTCTAGGGTTTAAGGCTAAGGGCGATCGACCCCTTGCGCCAGGCAGCAAAAGTAAAGCCAGGCAAACAGCCTGTAGCATTGATCGGGTTCTCAAACCGCCACTCTCCTGCCGGGTTGCCAAACAAGCATGCTCAACCACGACAAAACCTCCCTCACCATATTGGCAGGCACAACCAAAATACGAATTCAACGCAAGGGTCTCGGCTTCAGCAGCCTCCATGTCCAGAAACAATCAACTAAGAACCTGACACCCCCGCCACTATATCAACCTCAGCCCCAGAATCGCGGTGAGGGCTTCCCAACCCCCTAGCCTGTCCTCCAGATCGACCTTGGAGTGAAAATTCGAAGCCATCCTCACAAAGATGTCGCCATCACGTAGGATTTCGCCCAAATCATTACTACTAACTATGCCTCCCCCCTTCCCTCCCGCCCCCCCACCCCCCGTGACATCAACAAATCTTAAACCCCCAGGGCACCCAAACAAGAGCCTCGGTGCGAGAATTGCTGCATGGCAGGACCTTTGTTAGCATATACTAACATGTAAACAGTTTACATACAAATATAGACATGGAAATACACATATTACATAAATTATGTGTGTGTATATATATATAGCACACATACAAGCGTACATTTACTGTACGTCCAACATGCATCATCATGTCTTTTGTAGGTTGCTACACATTTTGGGTCACCCGAGTCTCAGCGCTGGACCAGGTGTTTTGGACCCTCCGAAGCTGGAACCTGTAACGGATCTCTCGCCTGTGTGCACGTCATCAAGATTCATCAATGATCTCCAGCTCCACCCATCCCCTCCTTCCACCCATGCACGCGCGAATGCATAATGGATGTGTGCATGCAGGCATGCAAGCAAATTGTCCAGGTCGCTTTGCACCCCACAACCCTAAAACCGACCCCAAGGAGCCGTTGACCGGGCGGGTACATTATCATCCTGCTTTCGCTTCTCCATGGCGCAAGTAAGAACTTCGCCCACCAAAGACACCCAACCCTATCAGCTCAAGCACTGAAAAGCATGACAATCTAACGCCCCAAGCCCAAAACCCTAAACGCGTAATTGGGGCCTCACTGTTTCAATATGGCACGCCGTGGCGGCGTGTGTTTTCGAGACTTTTTCGAGTATTACACGTGGAAGGGTTTCAGGTAGTTACAGGTAGTTTGCACGCATCATCATAGGAGTCTACAATACTAACCCTAACCCTAAACCCTAAACCTACTGTTCAGGGTCCAGGGACACTGGCACCCCGACACCCTACTGGTTCTCCAGAAACCCACTTGGGGGTTCATGGGACTTAGTAAGTACAGTTATGAGTACCCTAAGTGAGGTTATACCCAGTTATAAGTTTAGATACCGTATTTATAGCCATAGTTGCGAAGTCCCATGAACCTTTAAGTAGACCCCAAACCCTAAAGCCTATAGATCTCCCTTTAAAGAACCCTATAGACCCCTTTAAAACCCTTAAAGGAACCCTTAGTAAATGCCTTTAAGCAAGCACTGTTACTGTAGTCCTCCGTCCAGGCCGAATCTTCGAGGCGCACGGGAGATCGGGAACCCTGCAAGGAAGCTCACAGTTTGATACTGCTGATGGACAAAATCCTGCATGACCCTAAGGACTCTAAACTATGGGAATTATGGCATATTCCTTCTAATGGGTCATGCAGGAGTTTGTCCATCAACAGTAAGGGTCGTATCGGGATGTATAAGGGGGTTAGAGGTTTAGGGCCTTTAGTGTTTCGGGTGTGGGATGTCAACATCGGCCCCTCTTGATTTGCCGACGCATGTGTAAAGCGAATTCTGCAGCAAGCTTCGGAAGTGCGGCACTTTCATGCTGGACGGCAGGCAGTGCGACCATCTCCGGAAAAAGACTCTCGCCAGGAACGGGTGCCACAAAAATCTGGCAAGTAGTCGCAGGGTTCAATGTGCACAGGCCCAGCTTTGTTAGACTACTGGCCATCCAAATAGCACAAAGATTAACAAACACGATACACTCCATCCGAAACCCTAAACTCCGAGCACTACATGCCACTCCTCCCCCAGGCCGACGTCTGCAATAAAATCACCCTCCTGCAGCAAGCTTGAAAATGATGTAGACCACAGCGGTTTGGGGGTTTAGGGCTCTGCTTCTGAAATGTCTGTTTATATACGTCGGCATGTGGGCTACCTGCTTAGGGAAAGAGGAGAACACTTTGGGATCCTAGAATCAGAACGGGTCCTCAGTCATGGGTGTGCACAGATGGCCGTCTACTAGTACCACAAATCATGAGTCGGAGCTGGTCAAATGTAGTCCAGGGGCATTTGCCACGGCCGTTGCTTTCGCTCACGGTTTAGGGTTTAGGGTTTATCGCTCTCTCTCTCTCTCTCTCTCTCTCTCTCTCTCTCTCTCTCTTTCTCTCTGTCTCTGTGTCCTCGAGGTGAGCAATCAAGACGACGTGATCTCCCCACATGGCCTCGTTCAAGCGCATCTACTTCATGTAGAATCAATAACTCACGTGTCACGGCATACTGGTGTTGATTCCAGGAAGAGGCACATAAGTAGGATATTTCACTGTACTTCTACAAGAAAATGCCCACATACACAAACGAGTGTATACGTTCCTAGTGTGTACATAAGATAGAGACAGACACATACATGCATTGCGAACAAGGTTGCAAGATCACGGAACAACTACGCAACTCTATGCAAAAGGATGTATACGTATACATGTTTAATGACACCCAGTAATCTATACCGGAGCACATGCATGCTGCAAACAGCTTAGCAAACCCAAACGCTCAATAATCTTCCGGAAATATGTGCACCTAATCAAGCAGATGCTTCTATGTTTCTGTATACACACGAACGGTGACAAACGCATATGGTTTTGCGTTGTGCGCTGTGCTTGTGCGCAACCCCAAAATGGTATTTCGCCTGGAGACTTAAGCTCAAGAAGACCTTGCTTTGCTGAACAGAGCCCTATGGCTAGAGGAACCCCCGTCTACAAGTTGCGCGTGTGTGTATGTGTGTGTGTGTGCGCGCGTGCACGTACGTGTTGCAGGCTCTCCATCGATAAGGTAATATAAGGTACTCATTGCACAGAGGTACACTAGAGTTACCCAGAGGTTCTCCCACAGAGACGAAGTACAGAAGGCAGAAGTACTGCGGACCAGAGCCGCGACATGGGGAACTGCTCCGCAGGATGCAGAAAAATGGGCGGACCGTATGCACGGAGGGATATCCTGCTCCACGAGTGCGAGTTTATGACTGCTTGTTGTTCTACATGCACATCTGGGCCTGCCGTATATGTATGTATGTATGTACGTACGTATATATCTATCCACTCAGAGAGTCATCCAAACCTACACACACACACACACACACGCTCGCGACGCTTTTAAAACCGACATGTGTCGACCATGCTCTTTGGGCCATGCAGCCTCTGGCTCTGGCACAGCCGAACAGATCGCGGTGTGCCTCAGATAGTGTGTGCTGTGCAATCTTGAGGTTTACGGTTGGGGAAGGTGGCTACTTTAGGGCAGCACTTGAAGAACTAGGGTTAAACGTGCTCTGCTTGACTTACAGGCAGAGCTACTAGGACAGCCTTGGAGTGTCCGGGTCTTTGGGCGTGGCATCGAGGACGTTGCAAAACGGCTCCCTGCGAACCTCACTGACTAATTAGGTGAGAACGTCGGCCGATTTCTGCTGTGAGAAGTGACTCTCTGTGGTCAGCTGCAGCCCTCCCTGATTCAAAGCTCGTGCTGTAGATGTACTTTGAGCTACCATTTATAGTGGTATTATGCAAGTGCTCGTGAGGTGCTTTCAAGGATCCATAAGATGCAACATCTAAGTGTCTGATAATGAAGCAAGAGAGCTAATTACAGGGCAAAATACGGCTTACTTACTCTGTACCCGGAAGCAGCAACATGAGCACTGCACAGTCTTGCGCGTATAGCTCTTCCGATATCGGAGCCGGAAGTGAGCAACAGTACGACCTTGTAGTCCATGCCTAACTATACCAAAACATGTACCCCAAACCCACGATTCCAATTATAGATGCCCACATAATATCACTATATACGTAAGACAAGCCTAGGATGCATGGACCTTTCTTGCCAATCGTACACCTTAGGGCTTGGAGTTTCGGTCTTGAGGGTTAGGGCCTGGGGCTTAGGGCTTCGGGTGTGGGATTAAGGTCTTATGTCGTCGGGCTCAGCACCTCAGTCCAGGCGCAAGGAGACTACGAAGCCAAGGGAACTCAGCAAGGATGAAAAGGCATCGACCAAGAGGAAGCAGTAGCCTTAGGGTTTATATAAGGTTTAGGACTTCTAGGGTTTAAAATTCACAGGGTTGAGGGTTTAGGGCTTGCAGGGTTTAGGGCGCACTCGCCATGAGCCTCTTGCAGCTCATGCTGAGGGGGCTTCTTTGGGTCATTTCGTTTTTAGAGCTGTCTTACTTGCAGGGCCTCTATTTCTATAAGAGTGGAGCCCTGGGGTCCATGGGCTTCGAGCTCCCTAAGCGGCAGGCAATCGCCTGCACCATCTCTCCGACCACAGGGCCTCAACACCAATCTTGGCCCAGTCGCCTCCCCGTTTCTGTAGCGCGATGCGCTCAGCGCTGCCTTGGCTTCTTCGTGTGTTTGTATGTTGTCTGTGTGTGTGTGTGTGTGTGTGTGTGCGTAGGGGTCTTTGGGCTTCACGGTTTGGAGTTTGGGGGCCTTCGTCGTTCTCTTGGACATTCTTTCGGAGTAGCTTCAATCACGAGAAGCCCTGACGATGGCAACACCAGAGATTTCGGGCAGACATGGGCATGTGCAGGTAGAAAAGGAATCAAGCAAGCACACTGCGCCTGTATACGATCATAGTGAAGGGATCCATTAAGTCAATTATCAGCTCTTTGCTCATTGGCTTTGCCTTTGAAGCAAACATATCAGGTACATCTATACCCGCGCTTAGAACCTATAAAGTCTGCTTAATATTCTCTTGGGTTTTATATGAACAGAAATCAGAAATGATTCCTGAGGATCGAGACTTTAGACATATCATGTGGCCGGGCGGTACTAGTAACTAGATGCTGCTGAACACGGACGGAGGCTGACCGAATCAACTCTCCACTCGCTCCCAAGCGGTCAATCGGTGCGACCAACGATCCTGGGCCTTGAGATTAAGAGAGCCTCCGTCTGATGAGACTGGCCGGTATCAACAGGTGGAAGCCAAAGGCAAACATGAGGCGAGACATGATTCTGCAGACGTTGCAGACGCAACGAACGCATGCTGGTGCTGTGCATCGAAGACCTGGAAAGAACAAGCCGCTTTTTATTTCACCAACTAGAGTAATTAGAGAGTCGGCTTAACGGCCAACAGCAGATACCTGCGGCAACTATTGCTTCTTGCAGTGTAGGCAGGCCGCGAATGGGATCCAAAGCAGGTCGTGTTCGGGCCAGCTGGACATCCAAGTTTTCGTAGGCGACGCCTGGGGCTCTTAGGGTTTAGGCTTTAGGGTTTAGGGCTTAGGGTTTACAATTATTGACGTGAATGGAGCCCGACACATTCAGAACTAACTACACTAACTACACCTCCTCACATTTGTGCTCGACACCTCAAGCAACAAGCTTCAGAGCGCTCAATCAAAACCACGAGGTTCTCCGATGCAGTACTGTATCGAATGTACACCAGAATACAAACACCACCGATCTTCATGCTTGGGGCTTTAAGGAATACCAAGCTGCATGATGTTCCGTCACACTGCCGCTGCTGAGGTTTTCAGTCTGGTCTGGAGGCTTTGCCAACCAGTGATGGAGGCTTAGGCACATTCTCGACATGAGTGTTGGTATGTGTGACTTTCGGTGAAGTACTTAGACTTGAGAAGAACCACAAACTACTGCAGAACTGGATAACACCGGCTCCGCACGCGACTTCATTCTCATGACTCCCGATGCGCACTGACATCCCTAGATCCGGCAGCTCGCAACCCAGGCGATGAAGGAAGGAGGGAAGCCAGGGCCCAAACCCCTAAAACCCTAAACCCTAAGACCCTAAACCCTAACCAGCCACATCCCTTTGGCCGAGGCTCGATCCACGTGTGCGCAAAGCAGCTCCTGGAGCTTGTGGTATGGCTTTGTTGGAGGTTTCGGGGCTACTTAGAACTTAGGTTTTCTTTTAAAGGCCTTTTTCCAGCTGCAGAACAGTCGGAGAGCTCCAATAGAACTTAGGGTTTAGGGCTTCTCGGGTTTAGGGTTTAGGGGTTATAGTACCGCAGTGCTACTGATGCTGCAGTCCTAGATTTTTGGGAAAATGCCGTCACCGTGCATCGAACCTTCGTTTCATCGTCTTCCGTTCTATCATCATGATCAATGGTCTTAGCCAGCTGCGTCGTAACTTTCTGGTACCTTATCTATTACTGGTACTGTTTGTGTTCTCCTCTGAATCTGCTTCACCGCACCCTACCCTCGCAAAAACCCGGTAAACTAGCATCCTACATGCCAGCCTTAAACCCAAAACCTAAACCCCAAACCCGAAATTCTTAAACCCTCCCTTCCCCAAATCTGCGTGAGCCTCCAGAGCCAGCAAAGAGGGAGCGACCGGCTTCGCCAAGCCCAGGCGGTCCAGGTAGGACGCCACAAGGTCGGGCTGTGCAGAGGGAGCTTCTGCTTTAGGGTTTTAGGGTTTAGGGTTCAGGGTTAGGGTTTAGGGTTCAGGCTTCAGGGTTTACCGTCTTTTGATTTCAAAGGGTTAAGGGTTTAGGAGGATGGAGCTTATGGCTTTTTAAGGCTCCTCTTAAGGTAAAATCAAGACTTTGAAGTCTAAACGAGTACCAGAGGGGTTTAGACTGACGAACACTCCGAGACCACTCCGGAAACGGTGGGAGAAGACCGCAAAATAGTAAGGCCCCTTTATCAAGCAGAAGCCTCAAGGATTCGTGGTCCGGTTGTCGGCAGCGGCACGCACCCAGAAAGCTTGCCTGGTTGTCGGGGTTTCTCGAAAAGCCCAAAGCGGAATTGCCAAACAACTTAGTGCTCCTGTGACATGATCAGTATGGTGATCTGTGTTTATGTGCTATGACATTTAAATAGCTAAATGTTCGAGGCTCCTTTTCAAGATGCACATGGTTGTACATGTTTTTATCAGAATCTATCCTTTCAGATTTGTTTGTCTGTGTAGGAGGGTCTGGGGCTTCTGAGAGTCTCTCCTCGATCTTCCTCAGGAGTTACTAAAGTTTCGATTCCATTTCACGCAGAGCCCTGCTGAATAAACCCCTTCACCTCAAGAAGAATTATTACAAGCACTCGAATACTTGGGCCGCAAAGGGTCCGTAGTGTGGTGTGATTAAGGACTTCGGTGTGCAATATATATATATATATATATATATATGTCCCACACCGCTTTCGCCAAATAGCAGTGCCGCACGGTGCAACGGCTCATTGCAGGAGACGCCGACATAGCTATGGCCCGCTGCGACCAGAGCTACGGC